TACACTGACCACCGTACAGGGCTGCCCCATGGCGAGGGGGCCTTTCTCACAGCACACACGTTAGGGGCAGAGCTGCTTCCTTCCAATTGGGATGTGGATACAGCAGAGCAGAGCAGTAGTGTTCATCCCAGCAGATGTGACTGCCAGGGAATCTGGGGTGGGACCAACGCTTGGACTCAGACATGGGGGGAACTGAGACACAGTAGGGCCTTGCCGTCAGTGTCTCCTCTGGCTCAGGCCAGCCTGAAACCCCTGGCCATTTCCTGGCCTGATGGGCAGCATGAGTGGACATGTGGGTGGACGGCACAGCTGGCTGTGGCCACACAGACTCAGTCACCAGAAGGTCCAAGACATGGAAAAGGAGCCAAGGAAATGCAGCTGGGTGCAGGAAGCTCCAGGGGTCCAAGGAGCATGAGTCTACAACTCCACCCAGGGCAAGGACTTTGGACTTACACCCATGCCCCATGGCCTCTCCTGGCCCCTTCAGTTCTGTCCCATCTCTGTCCCTCTTTGTGGGTCTGACTCTTTCAGGACAGCCCTGCCTTCCCCCAGGCCACAGTGTTCAGAGCAGCAGGACCCTCTCCCCACTGCCTGTCAGGGCCTGGGGCTGGGATTTGAGCAGCCAGAGTAGCAGTCACTCTCCTCAGTGTGATCAACCTGACTCTAGGGGGTCAGGGGCTCATGAGGCTCTTCCAGCCCTTTCTAGGCTCTTGGGTCCTGTTTTGACCCATGTCAGCATCGCCTGTCTACACAGCCTGACCAAAAGGCTAGTCCCTAGCCCCTACCCCCAGTGGGTCCTAGGCATCAGGGATCAGAGCTTTTGAGTTGAAGCCAGCAGGTCTCCCTCCTGTGACTCAGACAGCCCATGTGCTGGTGAGGCCCCCTCCCCAGCTCTGCCCCATACCCAGGCTGGGGAGGGGGCCTCACCGGCCTAATTATAAGAAACCGGCCTCGCACACCCCCATCGGCCTTTGCTTCCCCTTGGCAGGCAACCAGGAAGTTTTTCAGCCAAACACTCAGAAGGAAACCTTCAGCCAATGAAGAGTTCACAGTGTGGAACACACTTGGCAGTCCCCATAACTCATGCCCTGTTTATGCTCACTCTTATCGTATTGTGTGTGTTTCAACTGCTCTACGAATGTCATCTGTCCAGAAGGAGAAAGTGGTTGTTTATTTCTTACCGTGCAGGGGGATGGAGCTCCCGTACAGATTGTTAATATTATGCTGAAAGGAGAGAGACAGGTAACCCAGACACTGAAAGTGGAGCGTCTCCATGACTCACCTTGATTCCCTGTTGCGGGGGTGGGGGAGACAGGGGAGGTGGGTGGCAGCATTGGTGACACTGGATGGAAGAGGAGGCTGAGGGTCGTGGCTTGTGTTGCTCAGCAAGCCCACTGATTTTATCTAGATTGTACGTTTATTTGTGGGCTTGGGAGGGGCCAATATTGAGCCCCCCACCCCCACCCCTCAGTCTCCCACGGCACAGGTTTCCGTGGCTCCTGGTGGCAATACCTTCCTCAAGGGTACAGCAGAGGCACCTGTGCTCTGCACGGAGCTGTCCAGGGTCCTGAAGTGCAGTCTGCTGGGGGATGCGCAGACCCCGCTTCACAACGCCCAAGGCTGCTGGCCTTCGCTTGCTCAGAGCTGGGGCTGGTCTTTGCTTCTGCCTTTATCCAAGCAGTGCGTGGAAAAGCAGCTTCTTCCATGGGAAAAGTAGGGACCTTGGGCCCCAGCAAGGGTGAGAGCCCATTACATTTCTTTCATTAAGTTTCTGTCTTTATTCCAAAGTGGCATGTGGGATAGGATCAGTGTTCGCCCAATGAGCTGCCATAAGTTTAAGGAATAGGAACATACAGCTTGTGGTGAACTCAGGCTCCACATAAGATCTGTTGCTGGGTTTTCCACAAGACAGTTTATCTTTTCAAAGAGGGCAATTGCAGCCAGGTTGGCTTTGCTGGGCAAAAGTGGCCTAGACGTCAGGAGACTCACCCAGCCTGGGGCTCTGTCCAGCAGGGACTTTCCCCCAAGTCTGCACAGAAAAAATGGGACAGGCCCCACAGCCCACTACCCTCCAGGCTGTGGGGACAGTGCAGGTGGGTGGTCACAGCTGTAGAAGCTGCGACCTTGATAAGCACATCCTCATCCAACTCCGCCAGCTGGCAGGATGCCTTCTGTAAGTGGCTCCTCAGTCCCACTCTTGGCCAAATCTGGCGTGACTCATTTGCTCCAGAAAAGGAATATAAATAAGCGCCACTGCACCTTGACAAGTTGACAGGATTGACAAGCAGAGTAAATTCCCATATCTGAGACTCTGAGGAGGCGAGGTGATTTAGCAGAGCCAGCTGCCATCACCAGAAGAAAATAATTAAGGGAACCTGGCAGTGTGGAGGAAAACTGAGTGTGCAGCGAGTCCCTTCTGGAGAAGGGATCTGTGATCATTGGCTGCAGGAGAAAACCCGCGCGTGCCAGAAAGAAATGAGCTCAGGAAGCTCATGCTGGGGATGGCTGCAGTGAAGAGGATGAGGAAGAATGGGAAGGTGGCTGGCAGGAGGAAAGTAGGCTCTGGGCTGAAAGGGCGACACTTGTGAAGGGCTTAATTCTAAAAAGCTCTGGTCTCAGGGTCAGGCACCCACTGCTCACACCTCTTACCTTGAGAGGTGCAGCCAGCTCTACACAGAGCTTCCCCTCAGCCTCTGTGGGAGAGTCTGGAAGGCCTGTGTCAGACTCCCCCACATGCACACACGTATGCACGCAAGCTTGGGAATGCCCAGAAAGGTGTGGACACTCTGCCCTTTGCCCACAGAAGGGCACACCCCTGTTCCCAGCCCAAAGGGATCAAAGAGCAGTATCACAGCAGAAGAAAGATGCAATATGCCCAAGTTCTGCCTTCATTTCCCCCTCCCTTGGGACTTGAGGAAGGTCCCAGCAGGCTCAGGGAATTTAGGCTTTTCAGCCCTGGGGTGACCTCGCATCTCCCTCCTCCTCACTTGCTGATGAATGAAGGAGATATATGGGCACATCCTCAGGCTGACCAGTATGAGGCCAGGGTCATGGCAGTGGCTGAACCTGTAAAATTGGACCTCATGGAGAAATTGGCAGAGTCCCTGGATCAGGGACAGAGGACCTGGACGTCCCCTTGCCAGCTGAGCTCCAGCCACTAGACCTCTGCTGAGTGCAAAGAGATAGTAAGGGAAGTTCTGGGCCTCCGGAACACCCCTCAACCCCAGGCGGCAGCCAGAACTCGGTCAGGTGTGGTCAGACACAGTGCTCCACTGTGCCAGCTGGAAGTTCTAGCTCTACACTTGCTTAAAGGGTGGCTGGTTCTGATTGCGACTGTGACTTTTGGCAAAGCCTCAGAGCAGAAGCATCCACTCACATGGCACAGGAGCAGGAAGAGTCTCAGATGCCCCAGTGGCCAGATAGGGATGGGGAAGGAGGCCCAGACTCTTAAATAGTTTCCCCCAAAGGGAATCCTCTTATCATCCTAGGAGCTTTCCGCAACAGACCAAACCGGGTATGAAGCAGAATCGTCTCCTCTGGCCAAAGGTTTGCTTCCCCAGTGCTTGTTACCCTGGGTGACCCTCGCCCCAGCCCAGGCCAAGGGCCTCCTTGGTGGGCAGAGGGGACATTCTGGAGTGTGGCCAGAGGTGCGCTGATTTCTCTCCATCTTCCCCCAGTCACCAGTAAATGCTTGTTGGACAATCACTCTGTGCCTGGGCTCTGCTTATCCCTTTGGAGGAGACCAGGGTGAGCGGGATGTGGTTAGCTCACCCCAGAGCCCCAGGGCCAGCTGAGAAGGCCAAAATGGCAAAGCAGGTAGCTAGGTTAGGGAACTTCCCGGAGCAAGCGGGGAGGCCCCAGTCCAAGGGGAAGGAGTGTGTTCCACTCCCAGGCCTGATGTGTGCAGAGGTGTGGGTGTGCGTGTGTCGTATTCCAAGTGCAGAAAGTCCACACTGGGTGGAGCCCGGGCAGGGCCAATGGGGCATGGAGAGAGGATGGACAGAGCCTTCTGGAGGATGCTTTCCGTTGTGATTTAATGACAGTGTGAGGTGGGGAGTGGGCTGGGGGTTCCTGGCTGCTCCACTGGGCGAGTGTGTGGGCACACCTGGGCAGGGTGACTTTCAAGACCCTAGGTCACGTTGGAAGGTGCAACACAGAGAAGGGAGCATCGGCTGGGAGCCAGGGGACAACGTCTTTGCTGCACCCCCACTTTCCGTGTGGGTAGGGGAGCGGAGGGGCACTTGCACTGAGCCATGCCCCTCCTCCCTGCTCCCCTGAACTGCCTGTTCACAGAGCCCACCCCAAGCACCCTCTGGACCGGGCACCCACAGTCGAGAGCCCGTAAGCAGGTCCCTGGGAACCATGTGCTACTTCTGCTGCTAATACTGTCCTCTCTGTTGCTTTTCAGGAATAAAGTTCAACATCAGGCCACAGCAGCCCCACAATGTGAGTTCTGAGAGTCAGATAAATCTCAGCATGGGCAGCCTGGGGAATGTTGGGGAGGGCAAGGAAGAAAATTTGGAGCTCACATTAAATCCATTCTTGGAAAGAAAAATGTGCCCAGTCCTTCCCAGGAGCCTTGGGAACAGAGCCCTGGGCTTTGGACCCATGAATTTCCCTTTCCTGTTGGATGGCATCTTTGGACTGTGCTAATGGGCGCAGTAAATCTGAGCCAGTCTCCTTCAGGCCACCAGCTCCCCCGCCCCTCCTGGCCAGGCGGAGGTTCCTGGGAGGCCTGCGCCATCTTGTGGCCGAAATGACACTTGCACCTCAGACCATGGCCAGCCGAGAGGAGAGGGGGCTGCAGGGGGCTGGACCGGGAGCTCAGACCAGAGGGGTCACATCCTGCAGGGCCAGCCTGTCTCCCTCTCCCTTACCCAGGAAAAAACTCAGGCCACAGAAGGGGCAGGGACCCTGGCCATGGTGAGGGTCTGGCCTGCATGACCCGCAGTGCCCAGCTGTCCTGTCCACCCTGGTAACCATTTCTCTCCTTGCCCTAGGACCTCCCGCCAGGCAGTTCCCAGGATGGTGACTTGAAGGCACCCACGGAGAGCATCAGCCGAGACTTGCCCAGCCAGGGCCCGAGGGACCTCAACCTGCTGCCGCCTGCCCGTCTTCAAGCCCACCTAAACATGAGGGCCCATCTGCGACTCCGGCAGCGCCGCCGGCGGCTGCTTATCAAGAAAATGCCAGCTGCGGCGGCCATCCCGGCCAACAGCTCGGCCGGTACCTTTGTCCGGCCGGCACTCCGGGCCCTGGACGGCCACTGGGTCAGCCTGCATCAGAGCCAGGAGGAGCGCAAGCGGGTGATGCGGGAGGCGTGTGCCAAGTACCGGGCGAGCAGCAGCCGCAGGGCCGTCACGCCGCGCCACGTGTCCCGCATCTTCGTGGAGGACCGCCACCGCGTGCTGTACTGCGAGGTGCCCAAGGCCGGCTGCTCCAACTGGAAGCGGGTGCTCATGGTGCTGGCCGGGCTGGCCTCGTCCACCGCCGACATCCAGCACAACACCGTCCACTACGGCGGCGCCCTGAAGCGGCTGGACGCTTTCGACCGCCAGGGCATCCTTCACCGCCTCAGCACCTACACCAAGATGCTCTTCGTCCGCGAGCCCTTCGAGAGGCTGGTCTCCGCCTTCCGCGACAAGTTCGAGCACCCCAATAGCTACTATCACCCCGTCTTCGGCAAGGCCATCCTGGCCCGGTACCGCGCCAACGCCTCTCGGGAGGCCCTGCGGACGGGCGCGGGCGTGCGGTTCCCCGAGTTCGTCCAGTACCTGCTGGACGTGCACCGGCCCGTGGGCATGGACATCCACTGGGACCACGTCAGCCGGCTCTGCAGCCCCTGCCTCATCGACTATGACTTTGTGGGCAAGTTCGAGAGCATGGAGGACGACGCCAACTTCTTCCTGAGCCTCATCCGCGCGCCGCGGAACCTGACCTTCCCGCGGTTCAAGGACCGGCACGCGCAGGAGGCGCGCACGACGGCGCGGATCGCCCGCCGGTACTTCGCGCAGCTCTCGGCCCTGCAGCGGCAGCGCGCCTACGACTTCTACTACATGGACTACCTGATGTTCAACTACTCCAAGCCCTTCGCGGACCTGTACTGAGGGGCGGGGCCTGCTGGGGCGGGGCCACTCGCCTGTCGGCTGGGCATCCCGCTCTCCATGATTCCTCAGCCCGGAGCTGAGACCTACCAGGAGCAACAGGGCTCTGAGGGCGCGAGGAGCGGCAGCTGCTGGCTGCTGCAGGCCCTTGGTGGGGGACAGAGGCCCAGGCCTCGGATGGGGACTCTGGCCTTTGTCCCATACCCACGTCCTCACTCCTCCGCTGAGGAAGATGCTTGGGGGTGAGCTGGGCCCCAGGAGTCCCAGCTGCCCACATCCACCTCAGCCAAGAGTCACGATGCCCAGTGGAGTCTGAGGCCCGAAGGACGAGGGCCCCAGCGGTGAGGGGTTTCTTGCAGTCCCTTAGCCATTGCCTTGTACCAAACCACATGGTTTGCAGCTTTTCTATGAGCCAGGGGGGAGGTTCCCTTGGAATGAGGTTCCAAATAAAGCACATGGTTTCCAGAGCAGCAGTGTCTGCACTCTGTGTCTTGGTGCGGGCACACACGGACCCCTCCGGGTGCTGTCTGGAGCTCTCCCTCCCCAGGGCAACGGAGCCAGGTGCCTGCAGGCCCCGCTGCGGGGGAGCCCAGGGCGGGAGCGACTTGTGTGATGGGGGCAGAGGACCCGGGCTCCCATTCAGGGCCAGCGGCACACCTTGCACTCAGGCCCCTGAGGCCAGAACTCGTCAACTGGGTCCTCCTGACTTGGTACTGGCACATTCATCCCAAAAGAAGATAGACCTGTCCCCCGGGGACCAGTTGAGGTCCGTTCTTGTCAGTGCACTTTTCGGGGGGCCCTCTGAGGACTGCCAGAGTGGTGATGAGCTCGCTGGGCAAGCTGCCATTTAGGGCTGTCACTGGGGTCAGTGGGCACTGCATGTGGGTCCCAGTGGTATGGCATTTCTGGGCGGGGAGAGATGCCATCCCTGGCTTTCTGAACCTCTGGGTAAGGCAGGGCTTTAGCCTGAAGCTGTCATCTGCAGACCCCCTGACCTGGCCTTGATCCCTGGTTCCATTCACCTGGCAAAACCACCTCACAGCTGTCAGGATTGCCCACCCCTGGGTGAACCAGCTCCGGAGCAGGGGGAGGAGAAGTTGTGGAATAAACTTCTCCAAAAACAGAAGTTTTCACACACAGAAATGCTTCTGAAATGGTCAAAAGCCAGGATGATTCTTGAGAGGTCTCGGAGAAAGTGTTTGTGGAGCTTTAAATGTGGGTGTGACTGCGGCAGTTCGGGAGTCCCCCTGACTGTTTCTGGGGGCCTGTCTGTCTGCCTGCTTTTGGGTCTCATCTCTCTGTCAGCCTGTGTCTGCTAGGAGCCTGCTGCGTGCCCCTCTGAACCTGTCTGTGGGTCTCTCCGGGGATCTCTCCCAGGAGATTGCTCTCAATCTGTCCCCACTGGCTGGGGAGATGCTGCCGGACCCTGAGGAGGAGAGGCTGCTGGTCCCCAAGGCGGACACGCTGGGCATCCCACGGAGGAGATGCTGTCGATCCCAGCCAGGCTCGCCCTGGCGTGAGCAGCTCCGTCTCTCTCTCTGCCTCCACCGTGGGCTCTGGAAACGTGTAGGGGCAGAACGAGCAGCTGAGGCTGAGTCCTGCCTGCTTGGGGCCACGTGCGTCCAGGAACCCTGAGCAGGAACCCCTCAGGTTCCAGCTGGAGTGGCCTGGGCCGTCTGACAAGGGAACCCCGAGGGGCGGGGGGAGGCTGCGGTCAGGGCCTGAGGGACTCACAGGTGTGGACGGCAGGAAGGCAAATGCCGGGAGGCTCAGAGAGGCTGACCCGAACCTCAGCCGGGAGCAGGTCAGTGTGAGAAGAGGCCAGGGTGAGAAGGGGCCCGGTTAATGATGACCCAGGAACAGCTGCCCCTGGGCCCTGGTGCTCACAAAGTAAGACAAAAGTCACAGTGCAGAAACAGCGTCTCTGGCTGTGGATGCATCTGGCAAAGCCTGAGGCGGTGTCACTGGTCCTCTGCTCAGCAAGGGGGACTTGTGGAAGCCCCGCTGGGGCAGCCTGCAGGGCACCTTCACCCGCTGCTGCCGCTGCTGCTGCTCAGAGACAATCGGGACCGCCCTGGGGCCATCTCCCACAGTCTGAGCGCGCGTGCGTGAGTGCGTGCCTGTGTGTGTGTATTGGGGGGTAGGAAAAGATGTCTTCACTTGTGTCATCTCTCAAAGACAACCAGACCTGAGTTGGGCAGATGCACACACACAACACATCCATCAAAGAGGGGCTCTCCTTCTGGGTGGTGACAGCAGGAGACACGGAGTCCCAGCAATGACCGTGATCACTGCTTAATGGCCCCCATGTGACCTCCAGAGGCCCAGCCCTGAGGCCTGACCCTGAATCCACTAAGATGGTGCTGTACCCAGCTCCAGCCCCCAACCCCAGCCTCAAGCCTCTTGTAGCCCTAGGGCTTGGGGACAGTGGACCTAACTGCCAACACATGAAAGTATGTGTGTGTGTGTGTGTCTGGGCGGGGGGTGGGGCAAACATGCGAGTCTGTGTGTATGTGTGTAAGTGATGTGGTAGGGCCATCTGTGTCTAGGGTGAAGGGAGTGTGCACATGTGTGTGAGCCTGTATATGTGTCGGGGGACCATCCTGTGCTGTTCCCTCCTTGCCCGGCCCTGCCCCCTTTCATCTGCTCACCACTTTGTGGGTATAATCTGGAGGGGGCTGTCTGGGTCAAGAACCCAAGAAGGGGCCACAGGCTCCTCCCAGGGGTCAAGCTGGCCCATCAAACTGGGAAATAACCACCAACCACCAACCCCCCAGCTGGGTCCTCCAAATGGGGGCCTCCTTGGGACAGCCCACAGTGAAGTCCCTGCCAGGCCTTTGCCCTCAGGGCAGCTGAGACTTCGTCAGATGGGAGCCCTGCTCTCTGAGCGGTGAAGGTAATAGATGTCCCCAAAACCTAGGCTTCCCACTGGGGCCTGTGAGCCCAGAAGCCCTAGAGACGAAACGCGAGGCCCAGCCAGGTGGCCAGGTGTGAGATTCAGGCACCCCTGGCCCTCCTTCTCCCGCTGTCGCCAGAGGCCTGGCCGCCCACCCAGGGGCCCAGACAGAGGCGGGCAGGCAGCGAGTGGAGGAACGGTCCTGCAGCTCAGCACGCCCCCCTCCAGGCAGGGCCCATTTGCCAACCTCATCCGCAGGGTTGGAGGAGGGGTCGGGAGCCCAGGAGAGTGCCCAGGCAGAGAGGTGGTCTGCCTTCACTGCCCCATCTCCTCTTAGCCCTTTCCTTTCTGAGGAGCACCCATGGCTAATCAAGGGAATTGCCTCCTGGCATCTCCCCCCAGCCCTCCCAAGTGCTGGGGGACCTAGAGCTGGGCACAGGGGGCTTAGGAATGGCCCAGGGTGGTCTCCAGGAGCTGAGGGTGGACAGTCTGGGGCTGAAGGCCTGAAATAACGCTGCCCTCATCTCTGAGGACCCCATGCTGATGGGTACAATGATCCCGGATGAGGAATAAACAGGCGCCCTTGGGGAGCCCCCGGGGAGCCACCCCTGGCATGGGGAGAGGACAGTGTGTTAGCCCTGGCTGATCTCGCTGGAGGGATCCACGGTCCTCTATCCCAGGCTCGGGGGAAGGGCTGTGAGAGCCCTGGGCTCTGGGCCCTCGGGCTGGGCGGGGCTGGGCTGGCCTGGCCGGGCGGCCTGCGCGGCTCCCTGAGTCTTCACGCTGCCCAGAAGGGGCCTTTGCCCAAGAGTCTCAGCTGTGAGACGGCAGCAGAGGGCGGCCAGGGGTCTGGCCAGGCGGGGTCCACCTGGGGACTGACGCTCCTGCCCCCTCCTCCACCTCTGGGCCGGCCTCCGGAAGGGAGCGATGGAGAGAGTAGGCTGGAAGACTGCTCCCAAGAGCACCGAAACCTAGAGCAAGGGTGAGGGCTCAGGGGTCAGAAGTGAGTCACTCCAAACCGGGAGGGGTAGGGTCTGCCAGGCGGCATCAAGCGCTCCCGACGGCCGGCGCGGAGCTGGCCTCTCCGGTGCACCGCCCCCAGCATCCCGACCGTGCGTGCCGCGCCCGACTCCACAGGAGAGGAGACGCAGGCACAGAAAGGCTTGCCCAGAGCTGCACAGCGACAGGACCTGGAGCCGGGATCCCCCAAGGCAGTCGGGCTGGGCCCCCTCAACCTTGTTCCCGCCCCCCCGCTGCGTCCCCCGCTCCGCCCCCTCGGCATCCGTGCGGTCCCGGGTAGGGCGCTGGGGGCGGGGGCGGGCGCAGGTCTCCACTGGCAGAGACAGCACTCGGCCACCAGGGGGAGCTAAATCCTCGCCCCTGAGCAGGGGCCTGGGCTGCCAGCCGGCCCACCAGGTGGCAGCAACACCCCAACTGTGCCACTCCAGGCGGGGCGGAGCATCTCCCAGACCCACAGGAGCCGGCATCCCCAGCCTCTGATCTCAATCAGCTGTGCTCTCTGCTCTCTCTCCCAACCAGCCATGGGGTCACGGAGGCCCTGTCTTTCCAGCTCTGTGTCGGGGCAGACCTTGGAGGTCACTCTCAACTCACCAGCTCCAGAGGACCCACTTGCCCTAACATCAAGCCCCCAAACACCCCCAGCGCCCCTCACCCCTCACGTGGGCCTAATGGGGCCAGAGGGTCCCAGGAATCCCTCAAGAGCGCACACTGGTCGGCAGGGAGGACACAGAGCGGGGAAGGGCCAAGTGTCACCAGGGGTGTGTGGGGAGCTGCTACCACCCCTGCTGGCTTCACTCCCCTCATTGGCAAGCTTAGAATTGGGGTGCATTCTGATCCACCTTACGACCTTGTGCATTGCTCCTGCTGTCTCACTCCCTTGACAAACTCCAACCCGGCCGACCCCCCTCCAGCCTGACCCTTCCCTGCAGGAGGAAAGGGCCCCGGCTCTCCTCACACTCCTGATCGCAAACCTCACAGGGGCACCATCAACCTGTGGTGTCTGTCCTCCCCTCTCCATGAGGGTGACGTCAGGCTTCTGTGACTTCAACCACAATACGCACACACATGATGCACACTCATGCAGGTACAGAC